ACTGCTGGGTCTGGCTGTGCAGTCCCACCTCAGCAGCACCACAGAACCCCAGGCTGGAAGGGATCCCCAAGGATCACCCAGGACAAGCTTCACTGCTTGGATGAGATTCTGTAGCTCCCTGTGCAGTGGTGGGACTCCATCACATCCCTGGGCAGGTTTGATTTGCCATCCCAGCCTGTTCTCACTGGAAAAAGTTCCTGATGTCCAGACAATGTGCTCAGCCTTCCTTTCCCCCAGGGAAGCCTTTCCCACTCCCTCTTCTGACAATCCAAACCATGTTTAGGTGTTTTCATTTTCCTGCTTCATTGTCCACGTGCCCATTTCCAAATGGTGAACCAAGACACGGGGGGGTAAAATACCAAAGCATTGCTGGGGAGCTTGGTCCCAGTTTGCTCCCAGTTTGCTCCAAGTTTGCTCCCAGTTTGTTCCCAGTTTGCTCCCACTTTGTTCCCAGGTTTTTCCAAGTTTGCTCCCAGTTTGTTCCCAGTTTGCTCCCAGTTTGCTCCCAGTTTTCTCACAGTTTGTTCCCAGTTTGCTCCCGGTTTTCTCCCACTTTGTTCCCAGTTTGCTCCCACTTTGTTCCCAGTTTGCTCCCAGTTTCCTGCCAGTTTGTTCCCAGTTTGCTCCAAGTTCGTTCCCAGTTTGTTCCCAGTTTGTTTGCACTTTGTTCCCAGTTTTCTCCCAGTTTTCTCCCAGTTTGCTCCCATCCCCACTCCGGTTGCGTGCCTGCATCTGGCAGATCCCAGCTCTTTTTTCACAGCTGCCTGGGCTGATCCATCCAACCCTTCCCCAGTGGCTGCTTTGTTAACTGAGCTAAGAGCATCTGGCTCTGCTAACTCAAACAGACATTCCCCCCCTTCCCGAGGCTTCAGCTCTTCCGCTCCTTCCTCTCCCTAAAATGTCTCACAGATGGAGCTCAGCTGGAATTATTTATGGGACCTGTTACTTCCAATTTGTTTCCAGTCCTTGCTGTCAAACATTTGTTGGCTTGGCTGGAAAATCAGCTCCGTGTCTTGTGCTACCTGAGCTCTGCTATGGCTTCAAATCCTCCCTTTTCCAAGGGAAAAGATCATTTCATTGCTCACAACAAAGTGAGTGGGCTATGACAGCACCTGAAAATCCTGGCATGGCCTTCTCCAGCTCTCCCATTTTCTCTTCACCACAAGGAGATGCAAAGAGGAGTAAGTGTGACCGTGTTCACAGGAGTCTTAGGATAAGGGAAGAGATGAGGATCTGACTCCATGTTTCAGAAGGCTAATTTATTATTTTATGATATATATTATATTAAAACTATACTAAAAGAATAGAAGAAAGGATTTCATCACAAGGCTAGCTAAGAATAGAAAAAGAATGAAATGATAACAAAAGCTTGTGTCTGGGACAGAGTCTGAGCCAGCTGACTGTGATTGGCCATTAATTAGAAACACCCACATGAGACCAATCACAGATGCACCTGTTGCATCCCACAGCAGCAGATAACCATTGTTTACATTTTGTTCCTGAGGCCTCCCAGATTCTCAGGAGAAAAAATCCTAAGGAAAGGAATTTTCATAAAAGATGTCTGTGACAGTGTAAGTAATCTAGAGGCCAATTCCTGGTTCTTGGAAACAATTCCTACATTTGGGAACTCAAAATCCTTGGGATTTAGGATATTTCTCCACAGCCAGGTTGCAGCCAGAGTACCCAAACAGATTCTTGGGCTGTATGAAGAGGCAGGAGGATGAAGGAAGGGATTATTCCCTTGTTTTACAGCAGATGTGGAGTTTCCTGTCCAGCTCTGGCAGAGATGTCAGGAGAACTGAGAAAATTCAGGTTTTGCTTTACACCTCTGCAGGTTCTGGGATCCCCCTTCCCCACCTCTGGCTCCGGACCCTCTGTGGGGAGAAAACTGGGGGGAGCACCAAGGAACCAGAGGGGTTTTCCAGCAGTCCCATTGCTCCATGGGCCTGTAGCCCTTAGGGATGCTGCTTGATGAGAAGGGAGGGGAGAGAACCATGAAATTCCCTAAGTTCTGCTTTCCTGGAGGATAAAAATCTCCAACACTCCATGAAGCATCCTTAAATTCTTCATTTCAACTGAATTAGACATGGGAACTGAGGGCAGCACTCAGGTGTCAGCCCTGGTGCAGGAATCCACCTCGGGATGGCTCCTCATAGAATGTCCCCTTCCCTTCCCTTCCCTTCCCTTCCCTTCCCTTCCCTTCCCTTCCCTTCCCTTTCCCTTTCCCTTTCCCTTTCCCTTTCCCTTTCCCTTTCCCTTTCCCTTTCCCTTTCCCTTTCCCTTCCCTTCCCAGCATTTCTTCGAGGGTGTCAAGGCCCGCCTGGCCCAGGGGGTGAAGGAAGAGGAGCTCAGTTTCCAGCTGGCCTACAGCAAGCAGGAACTGCGGAAAGTCATCGAAAAATATCCTGGCAAGGAAGTCAAAAGGGCCCTGGAGAGCCTCTACAGGACAATGCACAAACATCTGTCCCCTGAGGAAAATCTGCTGCCGGTAACTGGAGTGGGATGGGTGTGACACTGGGATGGCTGGGATTCAGGTTGGGTGGCTGCAGGGGCTGGGGAAGGAGCTGAGGTTTGCTTTTCCAGATGGTGTGGCAGGCCAAGGAGCAGGGGTTTTGCTTTTCCAGGTGGTGTGGCAGGCCATGGAGCAGAGTTTCTGCTTCTCCAGGTGGTGTGGCAGGCCATGGAGCAGAGTTTCTGCTTCTCCAGGTGGTGTGGCAGGCCATGGAGCAGGGTGTTTGGTTTTCCAGGTGGTGTGGCAGCCCATGGAGCAGGGTTTCTGCTTTTCCAGGTGGTGTGGCAGGCCATGGAGCAGGGTGTTTGGTTTTCCAGGTGGTGTGGCAGGCCATGGAGCAGGGATTCATCCGGCAGTACCGAGAGTTTGAGGAGCTCATCCAACGCTGCTATGCAGGAGCAGGGATTGCCCTGGACTTCACCATGGAGGACTTGCTGAGCTACTTCAACTCCATCACCATGGCCAACATGTAGGGAAATCCCTCTCTGGATGTCGGGAGCAGCTCAGGAACCCTTGTCTGCAGCCCCACCTCCGAGGAGCTGAACACAAAACCATTCCCAAGTTGGATATTGGGGTTCCTACTCTGAACTCAATCCCAATCTCCAACCTGTTGGTCCTAGACTAAATCTCTCTTGGGGAAGTGGAGTTGTCAGACCCAAACCACAACTTCCCTGCTCCAGGAAACCATTTCCCCACCAGGAAATGACACTCCAAGCCTCAGATTTCCCCCTAAGTGCGTACTGGTGCTGCAAATCCTCAGCAAAACATTCACAATGGAAAAGTGTCTTCTCTCCAGGGACTTTCTCCTTTTCTGTGCTCGAATTTCAGTGAGCCTGAGCTAAACCAGAGGTTAAACCACATGGAAACACTCTGATTGAGAGGTGTTCCCACATCCAGGTATCCCAAGCTGCTCCTCGGCTCTGCACTGAAAGTCATCCAGCAGATGAAAGTCCAGAGCTGTAAATATTAATGGATTTATTGCTTTTAGCACAGATTTACTCACATCTTAAGTGGAGTGGAGAAATGTGCAGTTCTAGAGATCCAAACTAATCCTGCAGGGAATTGCCTGCTTTTAACCCGTTTTTGTAGGAATCTTCCTACAGCAACTCACCAATATATTGTCATTCTGTAAATATTGTCTCTGTTTCTTGGGGTGATCATGGGACTCACATGTTGTGTGTCACAACCTTCTTCCTAAACAACTGAAGAGTTTGAACTCCTTGATATTTGCCCCACAGGACAAAGATTATTTTAGTTATTTTGCGTGTTAGAAAATTATCTTGGATGCAAGATTCCCTGTGCATTGGCAGGGAGGTGGGAGGCTGCTGTGGCTGCTTGGACAGCCCCTCTTCTCCAGGGATATCCTGGATTCTTCAGTGGGAGCTTTAAGCCAGCACATAAACCCAACTTTCCCTTGTAAAGGGAAAAATCTAGATAATTTTTCTGGGGTTTTTCAAGCAGTTGGCCTTTGGGTCAAGGTCCACCTCTGCAGGGAGCAATGTTTAGAGCTCCTGTTTCCAACCTCATCCTTCCCTCCCTTTGTCCCGTGACGTGGCTGCTCCCAGCAGGAAGAGGACGGTCACAGGAAACCATTCAGCACTGCCTTCCCAGCTCTTCTGCAGGTAACAGGAATTTTGCAGCCCCGTTTCCTTGCAGGTTCTGCCTCAGGAGGGGCTCCCCTGGGAGGGGAGGGCAAGAGGTGGGGGCTGTAGGCTGGGAGATGGAGGTGCTGCAATTTGGGAACACCTGAGAGGACACCCGGGGTGAGGGGATTTGTAGAGGGGTTGAGCCAGGTGGCTCCGAGGTAGCTGAGCACCAAACACAGCCAGGAGGGGCAGGGATCCCTCTGGCTCTGGTGGTGGCCCCCCCATAACCAGCACAGTCACTGGGCACAGCCCATGGAAGGGGATAATGGGATCTTGCTCCAAACAGGGTCCTCTGACATCCCAGTGAAACTGCACCTGGCTTTACGCTGACCCTGCTCCCGTGCCAGTGGGGCTGGGGGATCTCCCCTCACCAACCACTTCCCGTGCAGAATCATGGAATCATTTAGGCTGGAAGAGCCCTCTGAGGTCATTGAGTCCAACCATTCCCCTGGCCTTCCAACATGCTAACCCGTGTGCCTAAAGCCAAGGGCAGTGCCAGAGGGTCTGAACCCGACCTAAGCCCCAGGAACCTGTGACCCCAGCCTGGTGAGTCCCCACACTCTGGTGCTGGGTCACCCTGAGCCCCTGGCCTCACCCTCTGCCTGGTGGTGACATCTGGCAGCTCAAAGACAAATGGCAAGAAGCATTCCCAGATGTTTCCTGCTGCTGTGCCAGGCCCCAGTTTGTCTCCAGTGTCTGGCTTGGCTCCACCTGGATGAGTGTCCACACCTGGGAGGACCCCAGAGGGGGCTGGAGGAAGGATCACACACACGGTCCCATCCTTGGTGCACACGGGGTTTGTGTGTTGGAGCTTGGCATCTCGGTGACATCAGCCCTCGGCGATGTCACCCAGCTGGTCCCCACACCCGGCCCAGCCAGGGGCTCTGACAACCTCGGGTGCCACCAGATGCAGACCAGAGTCCGAGGCTCTTGCAGGGAGAAGGATTTATTGCTTCTGTACTTCTGCCACCTGCAGGACAGAGGAAAACCTGGGCGGTCCCTCTCAGCCCACAGCTCCCTGGACCATTTTCCATTTCCCTGCACAGCTGGGTGCTCCTAACTTCCATATTCTCTGGTTTTCCGTGCCAGTTCCCAGCCCTGAGAGCATGGCTTGGAAGGAAGGCGGCACAAGCCCACCCTCGTGTTTCATCCAGCGCCTGGACCACCTTGTGCTGACTGTGAAGAGCATCGAGGACACTGTGGCCTTTTATTCCAAAGTCCTGGGCATGGAGGTGGTGACTTTCAAGGTAACCCTGACCTGAGTTAGCAGGACCCACCAGGCCCCAGGGTGTCCAGGACTGCCCAGGGGGGTGGATGCTGAAGGAATCCAGCCCAGGATGTCTCCCTGACTCTGCCTTTTCCTCTGGGAGCAGGGCAACCGCAAAGCTTTGCGCTTTGGCCAGCAGAAGTTCAACCTGCACCAGGCTGGGCAGGAGTTCGAGCCCAAGGCTCGGCGCCCCGTGCCCGGCTCTGCGGATTTCTGCCTGATCACAGCAGAGCCCCTGGAGCGGCTGCTGGAGCATCTGCAGGTGAGGCAGGCCCAGAGTGTCCCCAGGGCAGTGTCACCCAGGAGACACACATCCAGGGCCTCTGAGTGACCCTTTCCTGGGAATGTTGGGGTTGTCTCATCCAAGAGTTCATGTTGTCAAGGCTGGGGGAGGAGGGCACAGTGATGATATGACCATCAAACCCCTGCTCTCCTGTGTCCTCCAGGCCTGTGGGGTGGCCATTGAAGAAGGTCCCGTGGCCAGAACTGGTGCTGTGGGTCCAATAACCTCCATCTACTTCCGAGACCCCGACGAGAACCTGGTTGAGGTTTCCAGGTACTCCACGGATGTGGCTGCAGGCACTGAGGGGCAGCCCTGACCACAGCCCGTGCTCTGCCTGGGTCCCAGCAGCGTTTGCCTGGCCCATTTAAAGGTCCAGGCTTTAATTGTGTAGACCTGGGACAACCCTCAAATCATAGCCACAAAGTAGGGCTGCAAGGATGTTGGGAGATTTCCCAAGGCAGCCTGCTCTGCTCTGCTCTGCTCTGCGTGTGAACCCTGCTTTTGTACATCTCCATCATGGAGATTTCCTGGCCTTCTGGGAAGATCTGTCCTGCTGCTGCTGCACTGCAATTGCTGGGACATCTTCCCTAATTCCTGCTTTCCCTTTTGCTACACTGTCCACCTGTCACTCCTCTCCTCTCCAGAGTCACTTTTCCACAGTTGGAAATTTCTGTCTCCCTTCCTCTCATCCTCCTGCTTCTTGTCTCAAGCTGCCTGGTGCTGGTGGCTCTCCCACCATGCCAGAGGTTTAAATCCAGCTGTGGCTGTCCAAACACATTCCTCTCCTGGGGTTTGGGAATTTGGCCTCGGTGTGACACTCAAACACTTCTGAAACTGAAGATCCAAGTTTCATCCTCAGCTCTGTATCAATAATTTTGGAGTTTCTGTCACTCACAAATGGAAAAAGCAGGGATGAGGAGCCTACATGTAGGGCAAAGTGTCAGAAGTCCAGGAGTTCACCTGATTTATGCAGGGATTGAGGATGGTCTGATGCAGAGGAGTCTGACTGTGATGGCTCCTGGTTACTTGTGGGACTGTCCTGAGTTTTCTTCTCCCTTTAGTTATTTAAAAAGCCATTTCAAAGTTGTCTAAAAAGTATAAAACAATGAAGGACCTGGGGATTCTCAAGCAGAGCAGTTCCGAGGCTGGCCACACTGAGGTAGCATCGATATCCTCAGGGAGCAGCGCTGGAAAGGAGCGAGGACTCTTCTGACCTCTACAGTGCAAATCCTCTATAAAATTGAAACAATCTCTGAATCGTACTCATTTTTCCTTTGCTGGAATTTCATGGGAAATCCAAAATTCTTCATGGTGCGAAAAAGGGCAAGGTCACAAAATATTCAGTGCTTTGGATGATCAGCAGGGATGAGCTGGTTTCCATTGGGTCCTTTGTGGGAACTAAAGACAGGAGTGCCACGGGAGAAAGCCGCGGGCATCTCCTCCAATGGACATCTGGGAAGGGATCCCAGGGAAGGATCCCAGGGAAGGATTCCCGGGAGCGGAGTCCCCCCGGCGCCCGCGGAGCGTCCGGCGGTGCTCTCCAGGGTGCTGATGTGCCCCGGCCCTGTCCCCGGATACGGAGGGACCCCTCGGGGCGTCCTGACCACGGGAGAGGGTCAGAGCCCATGGAGGAGAGTTAATCCCCATGGAACATGATTGGTTCCCACGGAAGAAGGTCAATCCTTACAGGAGAGGTCAAAGCCCATGGGAGAGGGTTAATCTCTGCAGGACAGGGTCAAAGCCATGGGAAGGGGTTAATCCCCATGGAACAGGGTTGGTTCCCACAGGAGAGGGTGAAAGCCCATGGGAGAGGGTGAAAGCCCATGGGAGGGGATCCAAGCTCATGGGAGGGCGTCAAATCCCATGGGAGGGGGTCAGAGCCTACGGGAGAGGGTCAGAGCCCATGGGAGAGGGCAGAGCCCATGGGGGAGGATTAATCCCCATGGAACAGGATTGGTTCCCACGGAAAAAGGTCAGTCCCTACAGGAGAGGTCAAAGCCCATGGGAGAGGGTGAAAGCCCATGGGAGGGGATCCAAGTCCATGGGAGAGGGTCAAAGCCCATGGTGGAGGGTTGGTACTCATGGAACAGGATTGGTTCCTATGGAAAAGGGTCAATCCCTACAGGAGAAGTCAAAGCCCATGGGAGAGGGTTAATCTCTGCAGGATAGGGTCAAAGCCATGGGGAGGGGTTAATCCCCATGGAATAGGGTTGGTTCCCACAGGAGAGGGTGAAAGCCCATGGGAGGGGATCCAAGCTCATGGGAGAGGGTGAAAGCCCATGGGAGAGGGTCAAAGACCATGGGAGAGGGTCAAAGACCATGGGAGAGGGTCAAAGCCCATGGAAGGGAGTCAAAGCCCATGGGAGAGAATTTTGTTCCCTCCACTGAAGACCATCTTGGTTCTGTCCCACACATCAATCCCTTTAAGGCCTGGCGGACCTGCCTGGTTTCGGGGCTTTCCTGTTCACCACAGGGTGAAACATGGAATGACACTTTTGGGGATCTCACACCTGACCCAAACCATGGGAAACTCAAAACTTGTCATGGAAATTTATCAAGTGTTAGGAATGTGCTGCTGATGGAGGAACTTCTCTTGGAGTGATGGTGCTGGAGCCCCGGAGGCTTTGCTGGCTGATGGTTGTGGTTGTCTCTGGGAGAAAGAACCTGTGGGGCTCAAGGTTTTTACCTGGAGGAACCACTGGCCACAGGCCAGCGTTGCAGTTGTCCCTGTCCCAACCTCTGCTGGGCTCCCCATCTGTTGGAAAAGCCTCTGTATTGTGAGTATTCCAAATCAAACTGATGGTTTACACAACACAGCATTAAATCTTTATGGAGAAAATTTAATTCCATTCTTTATTCAGTAAGATTCATTGTGATTATTGGACAGTGGGAGAGAGTGGGTGAACAGAGGTGGGAAAACAGTTTTCTTCTGGATGGTTCATTCCCTGCACAAACCACGACCAGCAAGAGAAAAGGATCTTCCTTCTTGTCTGCTCCCATCTCATCCCTCTTGAATAGTGATTCCCACAGTAGATTCCACAATTTTATCACAATCACATTGGAAAGGAGCTCTTTGGATCAGCAATCCCAGTGTTTAATGTGGAGAAGTATTGAGTTCTCCATCTCTCTACTCAGGGAGGGCACGGGGTAAGGAGCCTTTCATGGCTTTCTGTTTAGGAGCACAGATTCCAGATTTCATCCATTTTCATGGAAAGATGAGTTAAGAGCCAAATCTCAAGGAGATTGCCCTCCTCTCACAGGAGGGAAACAGGAGTTTCCCAATGGGAGCCACAGTGTATGTGCCCAAGTCACTTCCCAGAGAAGCCCATGGGCCACCTGGTGGGCCAGCTCAGAACAGGTGCCTGGGAAAGCCTGGGAAAGCCAGGAGGGATGGTGTGGGACAGTCCTGGGATGGGCAGGGATCACCCTCAGGGTGTAGAACTGATGTAGGACTCCTCACCTGTCTCCCCTACAGAAAAGACACCCAGGTCTCAATGGTCCTCAAACCATCCTTTGTACACAGAGAAGTGGCAAACACTGCCTACGGGTTGGAGAAATGGGAGCCTTTCACTGGGAAGGAAAAGAATCCCACTCTGCTGGAGAGTTCTGCAGGCAGGGCTGTTTGCAGCAACGATGGATTCCTCCTGTGCCTGTGGGACTGCCTGACCCTGATCCCGAAAGTGCCCAGAGGAGCACTGAGAAAAGCACAGGGGCTCTGCAGCTGGACTTCCTCCTCTTCCCAGCCTGGGCAGTCAGGCATTCTGCACAGGAAAAGTTTGGAATCCAGCTGTAAGAGATGCACAGGCACTGTTCCTTCTGGAGAACTGGATGATACCCCAGGATTCTCAGAGATTTCCATGGGAATATTTTTATACTTATGGTGGCTTTTCAGCTCCTCAGCCAGCACCAATGAGGAGTTGAAGTTTACTCCATGTGTTAACCCAGACACCTCCTGCCTCATGGGTTCCTTTGGAATTATCTAGTAGAAGGGGTGGGAACTTGCCTGTCCTTGGGAATCAGTAGGAAAGCACCAATGAAGAAAGGAATCGCAGCTTCACCAGGACAAGCCCCCATGCTGTCCCCTCACAGGCTGCAGGCCAGCTGGGAGCTGTCTGACAGGTTCTCCAGGTTGTCCACCAGAGCGATGATGGCTTCTATTTTTTCTTCTGGAAGCACGTGGGAGGCATTGGATCGAAACTTCTTCAGGAGGGACTCTTTGCTCAGGGGCTTCCTCCAGTGCCCATAGAAAGTGTCACATTTGCCCGTCAGGACGTCCCCGCTGTGCAGAAGCAGGGCCACCTCTCCGTACATCTTGTCAAAGTTGGCCACGTTGTCTTCAGGGTGCTCCACCACCACCTTGTCCAGCAGCTCCCTGAGCTCCTGCCGGTGGATGCTGCTCTCAGAGAAGGAGTCCAGCCCCACCTCACCGTCCAGCAGGGCAGCACAGGCATTGAACTGGAAGGAGTGCCTGGCCTGGTGCTCCGAGCTGGGGAAAGGCCGGTTGATGTACTTGGACACCGGGATCCTCAGCATAATGGTGCGGATCAGGGATGGCGAGAAGGACCCCGCGTAGTTGATGAAGAGGTTCCGGACGGACAAGGCAGCATCCACCACCCAATGCATGCCCAGGTGGGCTGGGAATCGCTTGAAGGCAATGTCCTGCTTCTCCAGCAGGAACTCGTGGTGCTCACCGGGAGCGGACAGCGGCTTGGGCTGGTAGACGCTGTAGAAGGCGCTGAAGCCCGAGCAGCCCGGGATGTCATCCAGGATCAGGGGGTTGGCCTCCATGCCTCGGCCTGCCAGCAGAGCGGCCTCCAGGCCCAGGCGGGTGGCGTTGCCCACGTGCAGAGGCTTGGCCTGGGTGGCGGCGTTGGCCATGGGCGCCCCGGCCAGCGAGGCGGCGATGCCCAGGGCGTGGCAGCACTGCGCTGAGCTCAGGGACAGCAGCTTGGCCGCGGCCGCGGCACTGCCCAGCGTGCCCACCACCGAGGGAGGGTGGAACCTGCAGGGGGACGGCAGGAATGAGCAGCCCTGCTGCCTGGCACAGGGAACACCACAGGAGCCCTCTCATGGAAAAATTAATGGGAAGTGAGGAGCCCATCAGCCAGCAGAACTCCCTCATGGCTTCATGGAATTCACCTAACTCAGAATTAAACCATAAATTTTAGCTAATAAATTAACTTTGAAATCAGAGTTTTGCTGTATTTTAGTTTAACTCTAAATTTAGAGTTAATGGACATAAATTTAGTCTAAAAATGGAGTTTCTCCTTGAAACCTCCTCAGAAACACCAGGGTGAGCTCAGCATCTCCAAAGAC